TAGTGACTACTCTCTCTCTTACTTTTCCCCTGTCCACGTCATAATAGTTAGCCAAATAGCTAACCATTGGAGAAGCCCTAACGTGATATATTATGCCCCCTCCTATTTTTATTATTATTTGTCGTTTTAAGAAGCAACATGCTAAATAATTTATTTTTTTTTGCCAATATCAACCCTATTTAATGGATATGGGATATGAAAAGACATTGTGCATTAGATAGAGGGTTAAAAAGGAAAAAAAATATGAACAAAATAACCAAAACGTATTCTTTTTTTGGTACAGGGACCTTCCGGTTTCCGAATCCACATGGGAACCGACTAATCCAGAATCGAGCCGGGTAAGACCACAAGGGCGGCAAAGCTCTCCCTCAAGAGTTTTAACACTGCTGCATTCACAGGGCTCGAACATGAGACCACTAGTTAAGCCAAAACATATTTATTTAATTAATGATCAATTAAGTCAGAACTACGAATAATAAAAATATGAGGGAATAAAAAATGTACTATACAGAGTCTGCATTATGTGGATCTTATCCACTCACCCGTTAAAAATACCCAAGCTCGCGTTAATGACTGTTTTGACTCTTGACATTTCAAATTTATTTTAATTAAAATTAATGATTTACAAGTAAATTAATTAAATCTATATAAATATAATTGCTAGAAGATGCATTAAATAAAATATTTAATAAAACCTCAATCATTTTCTCGTCTAAATCAGTTATCTTTGACTTTTTTGTTTTTTTTTATCAAATCTCATTAATACAAAACCGTTACAATTTTGTTTCTACTTTATATCCACCTTTAATTCATTTGTTTTTAATAATAAATACATAATTAACCCAATAATCAAACTTATATATATTACTGACTAATAGTATTTTAATAAAATATTTAATAAAACCTTATCTCGATTTCCCTTCAAAAACCGTTACAAATTTTATCATTTATATCTCTCTTTCTCTATATATTTAATTACTAATAATAAATTTAATAATATTGATTATTGTTTACCATCTTTTTATGTACAACAACAACAACAACAACAACAACAACAACAACAACAAAAAAAA